TTTTCCAGTTTTTTCTTTCTTGTTTTGTTTGGTAGCTGGCTTTTAGCTTGTTTTTTTCTTTCGCAGTCCGTCTTTCCCTGTTGTGTCTTTGTTTCTGTTTCTTTCTTAATACAATCAGTTGATTACCCAAAAAAAAACTATGATACTGGAAATGCATCATGTTTAAAAATCAGATAACCAATCAACCGGTATCATAAAAGTGGTAAATGGTAACCAATTAGCAGGTATTCATCAAAATTCACCCCAGGGGGTTGATTGGTCAAAGTTCTTCGACACCATACCTTTTCAGCATCATAGATGTTGCCTTGTTTACATAAATAATGTCTTAGTGACAATTCACCACATTGTAAAATATAATCCATGTTTTACTCCACAATCTATGCCTATAAATTTGAATTGAGAAACAATTGCATTGCATGCTTATTTTCCTTCAGCATCATGTAAAAGATGTACTTTTCTCTTAGGCTCTTTCAACATGCACTCTATGTTCTGCCAATTCTTTATCTATGTCAATGAGTACCGGAACTCTGCATTTATCCCCATAGATGTTCCGGAACTCTGCATTTATCCCCATAGATGTTCCGGAACTCTGCATTACATTATTTATTATTTACAAGGGTATCCTTTGACACAAGAAAAAGCACTAGCATTGATGCTTTTAGATTGCAAACGACAAAAATAAGCTTAATCAAGTAGCACCATAATTCATAAGCTGGAACTAAATTCCCCAATTGCAGTTAGGGACCCATTGGAGGAAAAATGCAGAAACCACACACAAATAAATAAATATATAAACAAACAAAAGAAAAATCCTAATAGACGAAATGAGAGGCCTAAGGAACTTCAAAACTAAAAACCTAGATGACAGAATTAAGGAATAAGAAAAGAATTAGATTATATTATTCATTTCGATGCACTCAGTAGAGGGTAAAAGGTGCCAAAAAGCAAAGCAAAGACAGTACGAGTAAAAACATTTAATGAAACAACAGAATAAGCAAGAAAATGGGAACCTTGAGAAGCGATGAAAAATTATCGGCCTGTTCGACTTCTGAAAAATGACGACTCCAGCGATTCCAATCCCAGTCCAAAGAGTTGCTGCAACGGCAAGAAAGGCTAGAATTCTTTACACTTCTCCACATGTATTTGTTGAGAATCGAACCCGCAAAGTTCAGATTACTCCCTTTGTTCACCACAGAATCAAAACATGAGCAAAATTGACGTGGCGGGACTGCGTTTCGCAGGCCCCATGCGTTAGCAACCGCCATTTGTATTCCTCCCTCAGCCTCTCCCTCTCCCACTGTTTGTCCCTTATACGATAATTTGAATGGATAGAGTTAGTGAGGTGGGGATATGGAATGGACCAAATGACTGGATGGCGCGTGTAGAACTGCAGAGAAAATTTTAACTTCTAAAAGGACTACTGGATTGGAATATCTACTAAAAGAATATCACTATTTTGTCTTGTGATTGGAATTACATACAAATACAAGCGTAACTTACTAGTTACGTATAACGCGGAAGACAGTTTGCAACTTTGCACTTTGCAGTAGGGTTTCTAAGAGAAGATACAAAGGATACCCCGAGAAAGAGAGAGAGAGAGGGAGCCCACCAGTGTACATCCTCTCACCCCTCGTTGCCGCGGACAGGGGAGTGGAGAGATTGTTCTTCCTTCTTGTCCATCGGAATCGAGCATCAGAGTGAAGTTGCTTCAAGGCATCAACGGCTAGACTAGAGAAGTAGAGATGAATCCTCGCTGACATTATTGGTGGAAGAAACCATTGGACTTGTCTCCATCATTTACCTTGGGTTTTAGCGCCTAAAATATCAACCTCAACCTACACTGAAGACTTCTTTTCTCCAGTTCTTCAAGCGCGGCTCTATTAAGTTTCGAATCCCCTGCAATCGGTAAGATCTATAACCTAGCAGCATCAGTCTCAAACCTGGAAGGTTCTATTAGGGTAACTGTCACAAGCTTCGATTAGGAGCTTGACCTCTCAGAATCTTGCCCCATTGACCACTCCAAGTTCTTATTGGATTTAAGATCACTGTTCTTGTTGCCAACCACAACCAACGACAATAAGTGAAGGAGTCAAGGAGAGGAGGAAACTCCTAACTTGATTGCGAAGGAAAGGAGATAATAACCGTCCACAACACACAATGGCAACGCAGTACAGTATCAAGCTCGCTATTAGTCTGATTTCTTCTCACTTTGGTGATCTCGTTGCTAAAGTATGTGAGTGCCTCCTGCGAAAAGGATCCCTAACCTTAGCAGACATAACTCGATTCACCGAACTCCCTCAAGCTCAAGTCAAGAATTGCCTACTCGTCTTAATCCAACACAATTGTGTTCAGGCTTTTTCTATCCAGATTGAAGGTGGCGTTGGAGCTGCACCTAAGGTAATTACTCAGTACACTGCAATTTTTGATAACATTCTTCACAGAATGAGGTTCCCTAAATTCTTGACAATTGTATCTGAAGAACTGGACAAAGAGTGCGAAGAGATTCTTGAAGGTTTGTTTCAACATGGTCGACTTACTTTGGAACAAATTATATTGCGAGCAGTATCAAACCAAAATGAAGGAAATTCTACTGTTCAGGATGCTGTACGAGAAAGCTTTGTTAGAATTGTTAGTTCCCATTATGTGGAACGTTGTCCAGCTTCTGAGCCTTTTCTTGCCCCACCAGATGAAGAGGAAAATCCTACCAAAAAACGGGCCAAGAGTGCTAGGTTGGCTGAGGAAATAGAAACTTTAGAAAAACGAGCTATATCAGCCGCGGCTCCCTTAGAATCAGAAAGATTTGCAGTTATAACAGATACTGGAACTGATGTGAAATCTGGAGATAGATCAGGGAGCCGTTTTCTTGATACAGCAATTGGAGAAAAGCGCAAGCATGAGGCTTTGGAGATGGATCGAGAAACTATGGCTACAATTTGTGAGAAAGAAGTTCTTTGGCGTGCTAATTTTGAGGCATTTATACGTCGTTTAAGGCATAAGGCTTGTGTTGCAAATGTCAGAGCAAGGATGGATGATGGGGCTTGCACTGTCTTAAATGCAATGCTGGAGGCAACAAGAAATGCAGAGAGCAGAATTAAAACAGAGAATTCAGTTCCCTTGTCAATGGATGCTATTTTAGCAGAGGTGATGAAAAGTGAAGGAGGCCGTAGTATGACTGTAGAACGTGTTAGAGCTGCCCTTGGACAATTGGGCTGTCGCTCCAGTCCAAGAGGAGCAGAAGATTCTCACAGTGTTGATTTGAGGAACATTATTGAAATTGCTCAAAATGATGAAATGGAATCAATTGTTCTGAAAAGATACGGGAGGGATGCCTATAGGATTTTCAGGTTACTATCCAAGACTGGCCGCCTGGTTGAGACTGACAAGATTTCAGATATCACATTTGTAGACAAGAAGGAAGCACCCAAGATTCTTTATAATCTGTGGAAGGATAATTACTTGCATATGGAGAAACTAACTTCACAAGGATCCAAGCAATCGGACTTTTTGTTGTGGAAAGTGAACAGAAGCTCTCTTTGGAAACAAATTTTAGATGAAATGTGCCATGCTGCTTTAAATTTGAGTCAACGACTAGCTTACGAGTTTGAACAAGAACATGAGATTTTGCAACTGCCAAGGGAGAAAAGAGTTGGAGCTCAAGGGAAAAGATTTGAACGCATAAGAAAAGTTAAGGTAATTTTGGAATCATCCCTTATGAAGCTTGACGATGCTATCATGCTCTTCCATGACTTTTGAATGTGCAACTCATATCAATGTTAGCTTAGTTGTTTATTTTTTTTCACTTTGTGTAGAAAATTACAGGTATGCTTGATCTAACACTTTGAACTATGGAATACATAGAATTGATTTCATGTTTAAATCTAACCAAAGATTAACACCAAAAAAAGAACATGAAGATGATAATATCTTTTATTATATATGCCCACACTCCACAGAAATGGTTTTTTTAAATCCACTCAGAATTTCAGATCTGTTTCACCATGAACTACTTGTCTGCCAAAAAAAAATTAATAAATAACTGTTAACTTAGTCAATGACCTGATGACCTGACCAATTGAATCGTTGTTCTTTGAATCATTTGACCTGGTCAATGGATCATGGGTTAGACATTAATTTTCTTATCTTTTGTTTTTCATATTTGTTATTAGTTCATTAATTAAAAAAAAAAGATTTCACACCTTCGTCTAATATGATGAATATATAATATTATATATATGCTTACTTTTTCTACAAATTTTCCGTAGTTATCTATAATATTTTTTTCCTTTTACCCATTTTTATATTTATTATTTAATTGTGAATGCACCCTTGTGTACATTCTAACCAGTAACCACACGGTAGCACTGGCCAAGTGGCCAGAGCGTATGCCCAGTAAACTTCCCATCCCATTCACGTGCACCTGTCTGGAAGCAGAAATTTTCCCAATTGAACTGAATTAATTATTGGCCAAGAAAGGATCTAATAGTAGTATATTAGCTCTCAACCTATAATCAGTATGTTGATTATTTGGAAATGGGTTTGCTAGCCGGGTCGTTTAGTAAACTCTAACTCGAACATCGCAAGAAATCTTCCACTTGCAAGTTAGTCTGAAGCTCGAAAATCACTTGAGACACATTAGATTAGATATGTTCAAGCATCCCAAACCAGGAATGCAGTCGAAAAGGCCCGATTTTCAGAAATGTTTACTTAGTCAAGCTTACCCTACATGTGTTAATGTGTGTTGTAACCAATAATAATTGGGATTGTTTAAGCTTGTTTTGATGTGATTGATAACAAAAAAAAAATGATGTGAAATAGCTAAGATAACGTTAGTTCATACTTAAAAGAACGTCATTTCATATTCAATATAAAAACAATGTTCTATAAAATAACTTGAGATGAAAAAGTTTGAATGTCTGTTACTAGTTGGGTAGTAAAACTCCTATACAAGATGGTGCATGGACTGAGGTGGACAAGAGATTAATATGTGCCTGATCCAAAGGGTCCTCTACCTGATGGACAATCTGAATTGGCCAATGGTTTGTCCTTGCGACAAACAGGTGGACTCATGTCCCACGTAGGGATGCAAACAGATTGGATTGGATCCGATCCAAATCAGGATATATCTGAATCCGATCCGATACTGTTAAGAGCCGATCTGATTCGATTGGATCTCACAAGTATTGTTTTGAATTCGAATCCAATGAAGAAGTTGGATTTTTGGATATGATCCAATCTGATTTAGATTTCTTAAAAATTAATAAATTATTAAAAGAAAAATAAAATATAATAATTTAGAAAAATAAAAACAAAAACAAAAAATACAAGTATCTTTTCAACTATTTTTAACATATATATACATATTTTTATAAAAAAAATAATTAATATAACAAATTTACAAAAATGCAATATAAATAATATATTTATAAATAAATAAATAGCATATATATCAGATCGAATAGGGGTGATTTGAATCTGATCGGATTGGATTCGAATCCAATCAAAAAGTTGGATATTTCTGATCTGGTCCGATCCGATTTGTTTTCTTTAAATTTTATAAATTATTAAAAGAAAAATAAGATATACCAATTTAAATAAAGAAAAACAAAAAATACAAGTTTTTTAATTATTTTCATCATATATATACATGTTTTTATAAAAAATAAATAATATAACAAATTTACAAAAATACAATATAAATAAATAAATAAGATATATATGTATTATATGTTTATATAAATAAATATATAACATATATATTGGATAGAGGGTAATCCAAATTCGGTCCGATTTCTGATTGGATCCTATTATCCGATCCAAAGATCCAAACTAAGGTGATCTGAACTTGACCAAATAGGATCGGATTAAATCATGATCCGATTCATTTGCACCCCTACAAGAGAGATCCAAATCCGACAAAATAGAATTGGATCTCGAATCCCGATCCATTTGCACCTCTAGTCCCACCCTCGTATAATAATCCACCATTTAAAATGCCCCAAAACCATATATTGGATTTTAACTATTTAATTATCCTAATATGTTTAGGAGATTGAAGAAAATAACTATTTAACATTCTCAAATGTCCCTGATAACATTAACACTAGTAATAATTGTCTCAAGAAAGGTTCAAAATTTTGTCACCTATCAACCGATATATATTGTATTGGTAGATCACTGACGCAAAATACAGGTGTTTCGGGCATTAGACCTATTTCAGTGGGTAGACAGACGTAAAACCTACCCCCTGACCTATTTTTGAAAAACAAAACAAAAAAAAAGGTAAGCAGATGATACTACTGATACACCCCTTGCACCTTATCAGGATATATATTAATGCTTTGAACCTTGGTCTCAACTCAAGGGAAGTTGATAAACCGAATATAACCCAGGCAAGCAGGAGTTCCAAAGACTTTCTACTGTTGGAGTGAACATGGATTGACCATGGATGAATTGTTTCCGTTTGAAGAATGTTTATGTTCTCAATTATATTTTTTCAATCTGAATCCTAATGCTCAGCTTGGCAAGAGTACAAATACAAATATTTACAGTGCAAAACATGTATTTTGTATTTCTAAACCTTGTTTCTTGATGCCTCCTATATTAGAAACAAGTGGTTCAAAACTGTAAAACCAACACATTTGTATATCACATAATATGATAATAGCAGCACATCATGAAAAACTTGGGGGTATCATTGTAATATGCCAAAATGCATACATATATAGTCAGTTGGGGTCTTAATTGGTTTGGAATAAATAACCAAACCAATTCCAATACACTTATTAGGAAATGCATTATGAGCCCCAGACCCTATGTAATTATGTCAGCTCTTCAATGGGTCTGCACATCCCATCGAGGCATTGACAGGCCTAAGAAGAAGAAAATCCTGGCTCGGCCTATTACAACTTCAGATTAAACTCCATCCATTAGTTCAAATGAAAACCATATAAAAGGTGTCCACAAACAAAAGTATAAATTCATCATAGCTCAAGCTCGGTTTTGAGGAACAAAAGGCGCAACTCTTTTACTCAATATCAAGGGTCAGTACAACATTAGCATATGATTGGCAAAACTTTCTTTAAATTTTCTTTGTGGGCCTGACTTTAGAACCCAGAAAACACAAGGCTGTATTGAAAGGAGGATTTAAAAGTGAGGTTGGGGTGAATGAACAGTGCATTCCATTGATGGTTCTGGGCCAGCTGGGACCTCTGTGCTAGAAGGATCCTGAATTACCACTGATAGTGCTCCATTTTCAGCACCTTCCAAGGCAATGGTATCACTGCCTGCCACAGCATTCTCTGTGCGGATTGGGCGCAAAAGGCCCTGCAACCTCAGTAGATAGCTCTGGCCAGGAGGCTGAGCTCGCATATAGCGTGTTGTAGTCACAACACTAGCAGAGGCATGACCAGAATCAGGACGAAGGTTGGATAGAGCACTGAGATCAAGGTTAGGGAAGACAGAGCAACGGCAGCGCGGGCACTTCACATTCAACCGAAGCCACTCGTCAATGCATTCCACATGGAAATTGTGCGCACAAGGGAGTCCACGAACCTGCAACATTTCTATTTAAGGGACTTGGAGCTCAAGAGTCTTAATGTTCTAGAAGGAAGTTTGGTGTCAACAAAATCCAGGTATTACAGTCATGTCCTTTTCTACAATTTACAAAATGGTGTCATCGTATGATGCAACCCAAAAAAACAGCATTTTTATGGTAGAAAGCATGAAAAAGACTGCTTTAATGGTCCAGCGATACAAAAGTTGGTTAGAGAATTCTTGATGAATAGTTTTTTGCTTCTGCAAAAGGATCACCTATTGGATGGACCAGATCAACAAAAATGTCCACCATGGTTATTGCAGATATTAAGGAACAATCCAAATCAGAAAACACATGGTGCGTTAAACTATATTGCTGCACAGAAAAAACCATCTCTATTGTTGAAGAAAAGAAAACAAAAAAAATGAGAAGATTTTGTTCCAGATGATTCATCGGAATATTCTCAAAATATAAAAACAACGAGATGTTGAATCATATGTTACAATCTCCATGGTATGGATGAGAGGTCATATGGATGATGATAGTATAAAAAGGAATATTTACCTCATTCCCAACACGGAACTCTTCAAGGCAGATGGGACATTCACTGCAATCAGTTGGGACAGCCTTTAGCCTGAACTTGGGCAGTTCCTGAATGAGTGCCTCCACTGCTTCTCTCTGTGGAATCAACAATAACAACCACAGACTCAGAATTGGCAATAAAAACAAATACAAATTTGGAACAAGAATTTAGGGCATCTTGAAGGTAGGGCATCTTGTCAGAGTATTGTTTGCACTACATGAGAAGCTTAGGGCACACAATCTTGTCTCATGATTGACTAGCGATAAACATCAATTAGACAGATCAACCTGAACCAATCAAGCCAAGCTCAGACAAACTTTGGCATGTTATGGCTTGGCTCGACTAAAATACTACTAGGTTCAAGTTCGATTCGAACTCTATTTTCCGGTTTGAGCTCAATTCTATTAAATATTCAATGAGCTCAAGTTCAGCTCGAAAATGAATATATTTTATGTGAAAATATATTTTACATAAAAATATTTTCTCATAATATCTATTATAAAAATATATTTTTAAGTCTATAATATATATTAGTATCAATCTTAATTGAGCCAGGTTCATGAGCTCTCAAGCCGAACTTTTTATTGGTCGAGCGCAAGTTTGAATAACTAATCGAGCTTACCTTGAGATTTGAACTTGATTATAATCAAACTCGAATCAAGTCTAATCGAACTTGAGCCTGAACTATTCGATTAGAACTCAATTCAATTGCAACCCTACCCTATTATAAAGGATGTGGAACAGGCCCTTGTTCTAAAAGGTAAATTCTAGGCCTCATTAGTGAGAGGATAACAATCAGAGTATCAGACTAGGATCAGGTCCATAAGGACCCAATCTGACGATGTAATATACTAATATCTTCAAAGAATATACCACTAGGGCTGCCAATGGGTCGGGTATGACCTGATGGACCCAAACTGATTGGACCGGTTCTAGTTCCAGGTCCTGATATAGTGTCCCAATTATTATCGGTTCGGAACTGGTTCCACCCAGTCCCAAACCGATTCAGACCTGACCCAAGATATATACATACAATATATAATATATTAAATAAAATATATATAATATATATAATGTATATAATATTTAGTATATATGTATATATTATTTATTATAATCAGGTCTGTCGGGCCAGACCCGATTGTCCTGAGAACCGATCCGTTCAGTTCTGGGTCTAAAGATTACAGACCTTATCGGATCAGGTTCGGTTCCGGGTCCACAATATTTCATGTCTGGTCGGTTCTGGTTCTAGCTGGTTCCAAACCAGACCCAACCCGTTGACAGCCCTATGTACCGTAGCTATTCGAGCCGGCTCGCGAGCCTCATGACATGAGCTGAGCTTTATTAGGCTTGAGCTCGGCTCGTGGCCACCCCTAGGCAACATCCTCTTCAATCTCTCCCTTGTTATGAACTGTCAAACCAAAATCAGGACAGACCCAATAAGTCCCATTAATAATAGGACTGATTCTGGGCTGGTTACTCACAGACCCTATAGGGTCATAGTTGGGATTGGATCCACCAATTTCCGTATAAGGTTAGGACCGTGTCTACCTCGATGTAACCCAGACCCAACACATTGACAGGTCTAAATTGTGATGCATAAAGATGTTTGTTGGAAGCCACTATATCAGATTTAGCTCTGCCAGTATCAAAATGAGTTTCTGCAATAATTTGAAATCAGAGCCATTATGCTTTAAGCTTGAAATCAGCAGCACATAAAGTCTGGTAATAACTACCACACCCAAAGTGATAACCATGGAAAAAAACAACATGCCTGAGGTGCAGTTAAGTAAAGTCCAGGATGATATGCAGCAGTGTCTTGGCCCATCCCTCTCATCTCTTGACCAGCAGCTTCAAATGCCCAATCAGGTACTCGGATCATGTCAACCAAAACCTTAAATGAGGAATGAAATTTCAATATAGTAATTTAAGCAAATAAATAAGAAGAAAGGACTAATGATCATTCTGTGATAGTTAAAATCAAATAAAGGTGTTTAAGTCTGGTATTCATCAAGTTGAAATTTAATTATGACAGTGCATCTGGAGAGGAGCACCTTGCATGGATGTTCTGTATCATGTAGAATGCAAAAAATATGGTTATTAGAAGACCTTGATTGACCAGTTACTCAACTTTTAAGATGGCCCACAATACCAAGGGAAACTTTAACTTAAATCAAAAGTGATGAATTTGGTGGCAGATGATTTGCTAATTCTGGAATTCTTGGTATGGTGATAGCTCCTTTGATACTTAGTTCTTCTTTCTTTGGAAGGGAGTTCTGATTTCCTTAAATTTTTTACACAGTTGCACACCCTCATTTATACATCATCTTTCTCACATTAATGCTACGCAATCTTTTTACCTTTTCCAAGGAGATATCTTGTAGGGGGTGTGCAACTTGGATGGAATTGGATTGACATCTATTAAATTTTGAAAGGGCATGAGACCAACTCAATGCAGTTGAAATTCTTCAATCAGGACAAAGTTCACTCTCCTTATAAGTAATTAAGAATCCAAACCAGGGAATTTGAAACCTTACACCATATTCTGAAATTGGAATTCCTTGTTGAGCACGTTGCAAGTGTGCCTGCCTTCGGGTCAGCCACTGCAAAATAAAATCAAACATTAGATTCCCACTAATTTTTCCTCCTCCATGATGCATGGGCTAAATCAGCTTCTTCTCATCATCATGCAAGTCTCATTAAAAAGAAAAAGAAGAGTAAATGGACTTTCAAGAGAAATAACCTACTAAGCATAGTCTATTCAGTACTTTTTTTTTATAAATCTATTCAGTACTTGTTTCTAAATAAGAATATTCTTATTTTTAGTATTTCTTAATTTTTTTTATTTTTAGCTTTCAGAACTTCATTAAATGTATAGAAAAATGAATATTTACAAGTATACAAAGTATTCCACAGAAGTTCAGGATGGCATCTGCCACAAAACCCAATTTGTTGTTATTTACATGCTTTCATACATGCAAATTGCCTCAAAACAGCTTCACTCTGCTCACCCCTTTCTGGCTAGCACATCAGCCAAACTATTTGCTGATCTTTGAATCCCAGAGAGAAGGGTTCCCATCTCCCTTGCAAGGCATCTAATCTCCCTCATAATGTGTCAATATTGCCATTGTCCTTCACTATTCTTTTTTATCCAGCCTATCACCACCTTTGAGTCCCCTTTTGTGAACTATTAGGTTTTTAATCCATCCATAATCTCCTAATCATGTAAGATGACATTGTGCATGTATATTTCCATTCAAGCAAGGGTATGTCACCACTAAAATTGAGAATATTTTTTAGCATATAGACATCAAACAAATTCCTTTCAATGGATAATTGTCTACAAATTTCAGTATTTGTTTTCATTGATATTGATAACAAAATGTTTTTTTATGTAGTACCAGAAAGATATAGGATTTGGTATAAGAATTTCTTTGAGTAAACATCAGCAGACAGAGAAGGGAGAACTAACCTTTCCAGTGGACATGCAAGCAATGCAGATGAGTCCACAGTAGCTGAAAAGCAACCATATAAGAAAACCCCATTTTTGGCCTTCTTCAGGCAACTGCAAGCATTTAAAAGAAATGGTTAATATAAAAGAAAAAAAAAATCACATGAGAATTATTTTCTCCCAGAAATAGGTACATAAATCGGTAACTTACACAGCTTCTTGCGCTTGTGAACCACAGAGTCCCAATCACAGTCCAAGCCCAAAGAAAAGGATAAAGCAACAGGGAAAGAATCGAAAGAACCACAATCCTTCCACAGAAGCGAGCATATCTTTGCTGCCAGCCAAAATCCCTGCATTATGTAAAACAGAGGAAGGAAGAAGGAACAATCTTATTATATGTAATCCAGGCTTAATACATATTATAGAAACAAATATGTTTATTGTGTGTGTGTGTGTATCTGGCTGACTAACTGACTACCTTGGAAAAACAGCAACAGCACCCTAGAAGATTTTTAAGTTTAATCAACTCTACTATTGTTTTTTAAGTGTTCATTTATCTTTTTTTTTGACAAAAAAGAGGAACTATTAACTTTTTTATAACTTGCTAAAGTTTTTTTTATTAATATTATAACTTGTTAAATTTTGTGATGCAGACAGAGTTTGGAACTCTGTCTTTATCCAACAACTTTTTAATCATTAACCATTCTTGCCCATCAGAAAATAAAATAAAATAACGTATCTACATATATAGGAAGGCCTAATTATCAGTGCCAACGGAACAAGATCAGTCAACAATACAGAAATTTTGCTGGTAAACAAATTATATTCGCAGATAAAACTTCATGGAGATTCTCCATACTGACTCTTGTCACCCAAAACGATATCAAAAAAAGGTTCCAGACTCGTACAGGGCAAATTAAAACAGCAATTGCAGAAACGTGGAGGACAGCAATGTTGAGCAGGAATAGAGGTTGAAGCTTCGCATATCTATCACAGGCAATCAGGTGGTAGATTTCACTACTAATCAAGGGCATAGGATTCAAGAAAGTCGGGAGGAGATAGGACCCAACCTCAACCTTTAACCAAATCTCAGTTAATAACCAGGGATGCACTACCCCCAGGTTTGATAGCAACTTCTTTCCTTCTTTATCCAAAAGAAAAAAATGGAGGTTGTGCCCACCTGAACCCCACACCCCCACCCATCTTCCTACATCAATCCTCAGTCATAGTCTTGCAATGGACTCAAGAAAGAAATGTTCATCCAGACAATAGAGCCATCTGGAATAAAAACCTTGCAATTATCACTTTTATCTTCCTACATCAATCCTCAGCTAGCTGCAAATTGCTTCACCTGGAATAAAAACCTTGCAATTATCACTTCACTAACAGTTGGAAAGTCACTCAAAATTTTGAATGGCATAAAAGCAGTGCCATGCTAAACAAAATAACAGCATCCCCTTCAGGGGAATCTCTATTTCCCTCAGACGAAATCCTTTCCTAAGCTATGAGTTCGTCCATAGTCAATGCACATTTATCATATAAAACATGTTATTTCTTGGCACATGAAACACCTTATGATGCACAATCCAACTCATGCTTTATATGGCACATGAAACACCTCCATGTGCACGTTATTTTTTGTTCACTTTTATCTAATTCCCTGCTGGTTGGTGAAATAGCATTCAGATGAAATCATTACAAATAAATAAATGAAAGGCGTTAACTACAATATCACTAAAGACATTGGATATTGACCAATACACTTATCGTGTCTCAAACTTCATAACCAACTTGTAAGGAGTTTAAGTTAGGATCCTTACAAACCCATTCCAGCGGCAAGGCCATTGTCTACGAACATCAACAACCGGAATACAAAGACAGTCGTATAGTCAACCTAACGCAATGGACAAAGAAAGGTAGCGGAACAGTTTTCTTCTACGACACAAATGTACAAACTTGAAAATAATGGTAAAGATGTCTTGTTTAATAAAGGAAGCTTACCACAATCCATATATGCAACGGGTATGTACAAAGATGATAACGCTTCCAATTAATAGAAACAATGATTCTAGCAGTCAATTTGTCAAAGACTACAACAAAACTTAAGGAGATCTACTTCAAATTACAAGTCGCAGAAAGTCAAGACTTCCCGTAACATGAAAAATTACTGGAACTACTATCAAGGATACACACTTGTCGCGAGCATTGACAAGAAAAACCCATCGTACCTGCAAAAGGAAAACCAACATTGGACATCAAGATAAAGCCCCATGTCAGAAGTGAAGAGGAATAACTTAAAAAAAAAAAATACTGGGAGATAATTTTGAGCAAATGGTTCTCCATTTCCAACAAATATTCGAACTTGCCACTTGAAATCGACGCCCCTCATAGCCATCAAATACGAACAACATCTAAATCCCTAACGCGCTTCAAGATATTGTAAATCAGAGGAACAAACCAAGCATTGAAGCATTCGAAAATCGTTTTCCACCAAAATCAATGCTTCATTTCAATAAAATCAAACAAACGTAGATAGATGGGCTCATAGAAAGATGAATATGAAAGAGAAGGATGAAGAAAGACAGCAGAAAATAAATAAATAAGAAATAAAAGACGATAAAATATTGGAGCGAAGGATTCTGTTCGGACTTCGGAGACAACGAGTAGACAAAGTGACTAGTAGATTGCTAACAGCGAAGTGAAGCAGAGAAGTCTTTTATACGAGTCGGGACTCGGAAGGTTGAAGCTTGAGGGCCCGTTCACCGTTACTTGACGGCGTTATGTCCGGCTCTGGACTTCTTTTTTACGAGCAAGAGTACGGCAGCAAGTGGAGACCACGTAAGATTAATTGCTGACGTGCTGGATTTTGAGCTCATTGAGTGGGGCTTATTAGGCTCGTTAATTAATGAGTACTCGAAAACGACCTATGCTTACCACGTGTCAACTTGTATTGCTTTACAGGAATGATCTAGTGTAAACAATCCTACTTATTATGATAAACGCAACTCAATCTCTTGTAAGCAATATGAATAGTCGTCGATTGTGCGTCAACTTGTATTTTCATCGTTCATTCATTATTTGACTAATGACTGTACGGAAAAGTGGGTGTACCGAACTGAAGCACGATCAGTGTTGTCAAACAGGGGATATGCTATCATTAATGCATCGAATTCGGATCCGATATAAGTCTGAAGTTAAGCATAGTTCGGCAAGAATATTAGTATGCTAGGAATCAGTGTTGTGAACATAGTTGGATTGACCTCAATCACACTTTGATTAGATGCAGAAACTTAGGTCGAATAATGTCATGTCAGGACTAAATGTCACAAAAGGAAATACACCACAAGATCTCCTGAAAGTAAAAACTCTGCATAAACTCTGAAATCATAACCATGGAACATTTTTCTTTGAATTAACATACATGTATGGAGACATTTTCAATGTACGTCTGAATATTGTGTAGACGGTGTTTTTTGTTTGGAAAAGATCTGGATTATAGAAAAATGTGATATTTGAGGAATTTTGATTTCATTATTATGCCTTTTTTGTCATCATAATCAAACCAATACCATGAAAACTTGTAACCAATGAATCGGATCATAAAAGTGGTAACCAATGAGGTTGTTGATGTAGCGCAATCCGGCTGTTCTTTACAGGAGATGATTTGGCTACCAACAACGATGGGCTCGATGAACTTGCAAGAGATGAACCAGAGAACCCGGGATTGTTTATCCAGCGGGGTTTTTTTTATGCTTAAGTTAGCACTTAGTTTGCGAGCTGAAAATGATATTAGATTGTGAGAGAGCTAGAGAGCAGAGGTTACGTCTCTCTCCACCCCTAGGGGGTGAGGGCTTTATATACCGAAGACCTCGCGGGTTTGGTGGAGTAATTCCTGGATCCCCGCTGTGATAGGATCTGTTTCCATGTTAGTTGGGGATAATGCCACCAACCGGTAAGGTTGCCATTTCCGCCTTAATCGGGGAGTGGGTGAAATCCTAACCGTTACAAGGCATGATCCCACAAGACATGGGGTACGGTGATGAGATCTCCGAGGTTTCCATGCGGTGGTCGGTCAGCATTGCTTGAGCTCGTGCTCTTTAGATCCGACCTGATACGAATGCCGAAGTGCCTTGGGACCGAGGTGGTCCTGATGTGACCTTGCACCGAGGTATACTCGTCCCGAGGTAGAATTGTCCCAAGGTGGTCTGGTTATCCGAGCTTGATCCGTTGCGGACTTATCGTGTCAGGCTGAGCTGCTATCCTACTAGTTAGGTCGCTAGTTCGGCATAAAGGTTGGTCACTAGGCCAGTGCCTGTGCTAGGTCGTCAGTTCGGGATACCATCATCTTGGCTAAGTTGTTGCCTAAGTGATTCTAGGTGTCACCCAGTTGTTCCAAGGTGTCATGTGTCACAATATCATTGGAGGGTCAAATTCGCCCTCATCAGTTGTATTTATCAAAATTCACAAAGGTGTTTTCATTGGTCCAACCTATTTTGAGTATCGTGTCTTTCTTTCTGGTATCATAGATTTAATTTCCTCCTTTTTAATTTACAATTTGACAATAAACTTATATATTTCTTAAATAATATATTTGTAACATCTTTGTCTTATTATGATATTATCTATTTAATTCTATACTATAACATCCTACTCAATTATTACCTTGTTATGAATTACCAAATTATGGTATTAGAAAAAAAATGTTACATTGAGTTATATCTTGATTATCAATCTTAAACAACATGTACCCTAATTTACACTTCTACTTATTATTTTTATTGTTGTTGATGCTTCTAACGTATTTGTCCATAAATTTAAATGTGCATCTAATCATTTATTAGTTTCATCAAATTATAACAATATTATTAACGGGCAACATGCACAATGGGCCCTCCTATTTGTGTACCGATCAATTCGTCTATGATCAACACAAATAAATAAGCACTAAGTGCTGAACAACCAAACTTGATTTCAAGTTCTCTTTTAGCCTACATTCATAACATGTCATATACATGAAACTTCAAAACAGTGCAACACCATTCATTTCTATTTAGTGCCACATCCACTGTTAAGTTGTTGACACTTAAATCATTTAATGCAACTTCAACCCTTGGCTTTTTTCGCATACTCCCAACCCCTTCTAACCTCATTCAACTTGCAAATTAAAACAAAAAAAAAAAGTTCCAATTTTACTTCACTCTTTTAAAAGTTCAATTCAAATAGTGATTCAACTACCGTAAGCTATAGATCGTCCAAGTTGGAATAAGTTGATCATCTAATATTGAAAAAGTCAACCTACAAAGAAATTAAAGGGGTGGACAAAGAGGAAGGTGCACATGAGGTTCACTAAGAGCTTGTAGTTACGTGGGCTTGAACCCACATCTCTCCATATTTGGAATCATGTTGAGTGACCATCTTCATGCTAATGCCATGGTTAAACATCACGTCATTATTCATGTGACTGCAAAAATCTATATTATATAGAAAGACATGATTCGGAAGGGGTATGAATTTTATAAATAACCACCTGATTGATTATCAGTTTTTAAGATACGATTGATTGATAATGCGTGTGTTTTGTTTCGTGGGCATTTCGTGATAAACTATGCCATGTCATTGTCAAATCAGCATTTTTTCCATCATATTAATTTGTATGCATTGATATTCATGAAATTGGGTTTTGATTTATGTATGTACTAATTGTTGGGGGAAGTTTCTTTTTAATGTTTCCCCCAACGGTTGAGCGTTTATTCACTGATCCGCTGATGTGGTGCATAATAGTGCCTGATGATGCCTAATTGTCTATAAATAGTTTATCAAATACTTTTATCAATTTTGAAGACAAATCAAGTACAAATGTTTATTTAATAAACGAAAGCTACCAAATAATTGTCTAAAACTCACCATGAGTTTTCAACATTTATCTTAAAACTCATCACAACTTTTCAAAATGTTTAAAACTCATCATGTCACTAACTTGACATGAAACAGACTAACGGGTGTTAATATATTACCATTTTAACCTTCATAGAAAAAATAAAGTATATACAAAATAAATTAACGGGTGTTAATATATTACCATTTTAATATTTAGACATGAAAAAAGGAAAAAGTTCAAAAAAATATTTTTCAAATATAAAATACATAAAAACATAGAAATTACAAAAAATATAAAAATTATAAAAATTACAAACAAAATAAAAAATTATTTTTAAATTATAGAAACTATAGAAAATGAAAAAAAAGTAAAAAATAAAAAATTGTAGAAAAAACACAAAAAATTATAGAAAAACATAGAAATTGCAAATAAATAACAAAAAAAACAGGAAAGTTTATAGATTATAGAAAATAGAAAAATGTAAAAAAAAACATAAATTATAAACAATATTGAAAATCATAACAAAACACTAAAAAAAGCAAAAGAAAAAACAGGAAAATTAAAAACTGAAACAGACCATTTTTCCTCTAACTAACCATTCGAGGGTAATTTGGTCATGAAATTTGTTATTTATGCTAACATGGACACCTCTGTTAAGAAGCATTAACGGTGCATTAACAGAAGGTGAATTTTGGAAAATAAAAACTTACTAACATGGTGAATTTTAGACATTTTGAAAATCTGTGATGAGTTTAAGAAAAACTTTAAAAACTCATGGTAAGTTTTAGACAATTTCCGTTATTAAAACTGAATTGTACAGTAACCCTGTTTATGACCAAGCGTATGTATTAACTAAGGTTTATCAAAAAGCATTTAAATCTCCCTTATCAAAATAAGATACCCGTTATATTAATTTGACAGAATTATGAAATAAATGCAGTTTTATCCTTTGAGTTTTAAAATGAACTATTGAATGTGAGAAATCAGTACAAAAAGCATTGTAATTGGTGAATGTGAGAAATTTTAAAAATGAACCATTGAATGTGAGAAATCAGTACGTAAAAAGCATTGTAATCAGTACGAAAACACACATGCATGCTGCATGCATGACAACAAAAACAGGTAAATATGTAGCGTCAAATTTTCAATATCTTATTTAATTAGTTTTATACATGAGTATGCTCTGAAAGCGCCTGCGATTAAATAAATGAAAACCCATAAGTGAGACATGAAGTTTTGTGATGGATGGATGGAGCCTGTGAGATTAGTGATTTCAGTGAAGACCAAGGTTTGGAGGTATAGGAGATCGCTGTGCATGTCGGCATATGCTGTGGAAGTGGAAGCTAATTTCGTAAATGAGGAGTTTAGTGGCACAAGCGCAGTTGGTTTTGGGGTGGCAAGAAAGTGATGAAATCCCAGTTGCAACAATCGGTAGTGTTTGTTGTTGGATTTTAATCTCATTAAATATGAAATTTAATAGGGTTTGATTGGTTAATTATATGAAAAAAATACACCTTCACATGTATTTTGATAAATATTTTATACATAAAAATCAGTTTTCAACTTGTTTTACATTGAAAATTTGTTAAATTAAGTTTTGAGTTTTTAAATAAGAGTTTATTTACACTTCTTAGAAATATAAGAAGAATATGGAGGCTTGCTATCGTGCAACGCGCATGCGTGCATGTATATGACACAATGAGGCGCACTTTGCTCACACCTACGTGGTAGTCGGTATAAGGCAACTTTGACTTTTGATGCAAGGTTGACCATTGATGTTTCACCTGTCACGATTCGATCGGGTGTGATCAAGAGGTACTATTTAAAGTTAATAATCATTACTATTAATTACCTTTTAGCAGTCAAATTTGTGATTTTTCAAAAAATTTTTTTCTGAACCATCACATTCCTCTACTCTATAACTCTTCATAAATTATTCAAGGAGTGAATCAAGCAAATTAACACAAGTTTTTAAAAAATCATTATTGTTTCTCTTAATTCAACCTCTTACTGTCTTACAAAAAGTTTATTCAAAAACTTCAACTTTGTTAGTTGCAGATTTTCGCTCAAGTATTTGTTATATCTTCTAAACAAATTTATCTATAACCCAACAGAAAACTCAGTAAAACTGAGTGGGGCAAATAATGTTCTAAAGATAATATCTTAAGACATGCTTCAGATCTTATCCTCTAAGTTTCCATAACCCCATTTCCTAACTGTTAGGATTCCAAGAAGCCAGTCAATTGGTTGGAACGTTCATCTCATGTAACATAAGGGAAGGCTTATGGTGGCTTTTCGTCCCTGATCGTGTTATGTTGATGCCTGATGGTGTGTATCTTATCACAGATCTTGGATATCTTGTTTAATACAGCAACGAAAATTAAATCCTTTATTCCTTGTTTCAATATTTTTAAGTTTTCAAGATATAAGTCCAAAGTGTAGACTTAGAATTAGAAGAACCCAATTTTGATACTGCTTGAAGTACGTAGATGACCACCAAAGAAACCTTCCACTCATTTTTTACATTTTTTCCTTGTTTCATAAGAAATAACCAAGATCGTCACACGGAACAAGCTAAATCTGTTAGAGAGGAAACACATGAGTTTGCCTCTTTATCTTTAATCTTCCAAATGAATAAGTAATTATATTGCAAGTGAGTTTGTTTAAATTTTAGTTGAATACGTGAACAGGAAGTTCAAATTTATTTTTTTTGTCTTTTTTATTTAAAAAGAATTGTTTTTTTTTTCAATCATCAAAGGGTAAAATTGAGTATTTGAACTAATATTATAAGGTAAACATGATATTACATGCAAATGAAATTATTTGTCCACTGGCATCGTTTTATAGGGCAAGGTTTTAAAAAATAGCTTGAAAATGAAACCATTTTAACAATCAATTTTTAGGTCAATGGTCAACCATCCGAATTTAATAGTTTAAAATTATAGTGGATGTTTAAGTTCTCTTATAAACTAGAGGAGAGCTTTACAAATTTCAAGAGAGTTTTAACAGCTGAAATGGTTGAACTGAAAAACTCAAATTTTAGGAATTCCAAGAGTTGAGATGGCTGAACTGAAAAAGTTTATTGCTTGGTCATATAGTGTATAAGGCATGGCTTTCAAAACTGGACCGGATGGTCGGACTGGAAAAACTGGGAACCAATTAGCTGATCAGTTCCATTTTTCTCCAAAACTGGATTTTTGCCAAAAAAAATGTTGAATTGGTCAATAAATCATTGACCCGAACGGTTAAACCATTTAAACTATTCAACGTTTTTGACTGTTTTTTATTATTTTTTTCAAAACGGGCCAACTATTCGACTTAGAAATTGGACCCTTGACCGGTTTATTGTCCAAATCGATTTTAAAAACCTTGGTATAAGGTTTTAAGGAGGCTGCTAGCTCCTTAAATGTTGAAGCTGAAGTTTTTTTTTTTTTTCATTTTTTGGTAAAAAGAAAGATTAATATTGGTCAACATAGTTCAAGTCTTTCAGAGCCAGCTCATGGGTCCGGTCCGGGCTGATCTGAAAATAGACACCACTTTCTGATAAACCTCTCTACTGAAGTTGGATACATTACTATACTTTTAAATATTACTATTTTATGCATTAAAGCACAAAGAATAAAAAGTTATAGTTCAGCAACTTCAACTTATCGTCTTTTACCCTATATATGATTAACTGAATGTTTTTGCTATTCAGCAGGCTGTGAATTAATCAACCAATAACAACACTTCACACTGATCATAAAAATACATTACCCCATAATCATTCAACATCTCATTTATTTGAATTCGGATTAGCTGAACACTTTAGCCGCGGGCTGGCTGAGTTCCACATCCCACTGAACAGTTAAGTCGTTCAGTTACGTTCAGTTATAATATTGGCGTAGAACCACATCATTAATTCCACAGCCAGATGAACAGCTAAAAGTTGCTTTATTTATTTTATCACAGAATTATAACGAAAGAATCAGTTTAGTGATGTAATACCTACCCTACCTAGGGCTCTAGCCGCAGATGAAATCATGCAATTGTAAAATACCAAAAAAAAATCATGCAATTGTGCTATTTCATGACTTCCTTTCTCTCTGCGCTTCATCCGTTTTTATCTTTGACAGCACCAATCCAGATAAAATCATCATCATTACTGCGACGACTTGTCCTTTTATTACTGCAAACATGCCGGTATATTTCCAGAGTTTGATAAAAAGTCAATCTAGACCTATCGTCTTTGGCCTAAAATCATCAAATCGGAATATTTTGCATCTTAGATTTTCACAGGAAGTATCGACGGTTTGTAACTAAAAATATAAGAATACTATCGGTAGGATAACCATACCTTATCATCAGCTGCTCCATGATAACGACAGTATTTGAGTTGTTTTGAGGTTTGACACGAGCAAAGTCTTCAACTGATCATCTCCTAACCAAGCAATCTCGGATTCATGGGTCACGACTGTCTGGAGGCTGGAGCCGTTTCGCGCGCGTAGAAGACCGAAGAAAGGGGAAAAACAAAAGAAAACAGATAAAGAAAAGAAGAAAAAAGAAAAGAGATTTAAATCATGAAAAGAAAATAAAGAAGCAGAGAAGGATCCCCCCAGAAATTTGCCAATCGGACATCACAAAGAAAGTTCTCGCGGAGGAACACTAATACTACTCAAAGCCCGCTGTTCACGTTTCCACATTTACTTGTTCCAGAGGGTTTGAATCATCTAAGTTCATATCGATCTGCAAGTTCCATGAACCTCGTGCTTAACATCTACCTCGGTTTCAATCGTTTTTATCTCATATTACTGGACTTGGTAGAGCTGCCTTAATGAAGCTGAATCCCTTCGTTTTCTAGTAATGGCAGATTACAGAGGAAGCACTAAGGGCCAATTAGTTTACACTCAAGAGACTCGATCCCAGTGGAACCCTGCGATGGAGAACGGAATCGGAGGCTTAGTTAACAGGTTCTCGAGATTGGGTGTCGACGATTCTTCGATGGAACACTTGGTACAGATCATGAAGGCAGTTCAAGCCGCTGAGGACACCATCAAGCAACAGGTTAACTTGTCGATTTTTCGACGATTTCTATTAGCTCGTCGCCATTTTCTTTTTAAATTTCCCCATTTTTAAAGTCCATTTCTACATGAGGGTTGTGATGCTCTCCCACCCCCCAAATGAAGGTTGACTTTAAAGCGTTATTGAAAACTGAGCTCTATTTATAAGGCTTGCTCTGTCTTATTTTGTACATATTTGGTTTGCTTAACGTTCAAGACTATCCTGAATTATCTGCAGTTGGGTGTAATTCTTGCTTTTGCAGTTCAATAATAGCCTGGGCAATTTAGTATACTTGTTATGGTAGGTTAAGCAAGCAAATGTTCTTAATTGTACAGTGAACCCTGCATGCAATCGTCAGTTTGGATAGATATTTGAAAGATAATAAGTTTTTTGTTTTTTTTTTTTTTCATTTAGGATGTGTTTGATTCGAAAGAAAAAAATGGGAAATGAAGGGGAGGGTTTATATAAATTTCCTTACCTTTTTTTTTTTTAATACCAAACACAGTAATTTTATACCAAACACAAGGCAAATAGGATTGTAATGGAATTGGATTTCGATCGGATTACTGAAAACTTGCATCCAAATCTGATTGGGTTTGAAAACTTCAGATTTGAATTCTAATTCTAATGGACTCGGATCGGATTCGGATTTAATCCGACTCTGCTTTAATTTTTTTAAATACAAAAAAAAAATTGTAACTAAAAATTCACAGTGAAAGGACAGTTGCTCTTACTTTGTGTTAATGTACAAGAAGAAGTGATTTGGGTCCCTTTGTTAGCTAACTCATTTTGGTTGACTCCCTTGCCCGTGAAGGCATAGATTGATAGATAGACAGGAATTAAGGTGGGGTCAATACTCGTTGGGATAAAACTGATAATGTTATGGGTTGGGGCTCTTGATGGAGCTGGATCAAAATTTTCTGCTTTGTTTTATTTCCTCTACTTATAAATTTTACAATGTTTGCATCCATGGTGTAGACATTGTACGTGTCTTTAATATCAATAAAATTTCATCTCTTACTGATAAAAAAAATCTTGGCACCCATCCAAATGTTTTTTTTTTTTTTAATTTTTAAATTTCTTTCCTTTTCACATATTTTCTGTTTGAATCTGCTTATATTGAAGATAGATGGATATTAAAAAATGGAGTTAAAGGGCACAACACGTAAATTAAATGATGAGGCAAGTTTGGTCATTGAGTCAAAATGACAATGGTAGTTAATTGTTTCTACTGTTGCTATAGTAGTCCGAACCAGTAAGGAGAAGAAGAAAGAGAAGGAGAAGAAGAAGAAGAGGAGAAGAAGAAGAAGAGGAGAAGAACTGTCGAACCTGATAGCTAAACCCTATCAGTCGACCTCTTAATAGTGATTAGGCTCTAATTAAATGTACAAGGACTAAACTGCCCCTACTTAAGTATGGGACAGAGAACCTCTAATAAGACTGCMACATAAGCTCATAACTTAACCAAGGTGAGTTGACTAATCTACCCTTATTCGGCTAACTCTAACATTAATAAATCAGCCACCATCACGATCACGAGTGAAACCTAGCATCACTAGGAGATGCACTTCCTAGGTTTCCTTGGAGTGACATTGAAGATAAATAGTAAGCAAGTACGTGAAATCAATTGCCTTTTCATTGCCCAAACTAATCAGCTAAGTTGATCTCTAGTTGCCCGATAGAGTCCATGACATTGATAAATTGCTGATAGTCATTGGGGGGAGGGGGGTCTTGTGATGAGTGAGCTGGTTTAGGGTTCTCAGTTGGTGGAACAGATGTGTCGTTTGGTAATATCAACAGTGATTCCATCTTCATGGGCCTTGTCTGCCTTCTACTTATTTCTCTAGGAAATTCTATCTAATAAACTCCTTTTTTTTCTTTCTTTTCTCTTGGTGGTAACATTTTACTTTATTACTGGGGAAAATAAGTGCATTTGCAAAGGAGAAGAAGCCTTGTCACATAAACCTAGACACTTCACCATACATGAATAAAGAATCCAGAAATAAGTACAAAAGTTATTGCATCATGGAAGGTCCCTGAAAAAGCTTCAGTTTCCAAACTCCTTCACTTGCTAAGAAGTCAAGGGTTGACTGATCTAAGGACACAGTCGAAAAAAATTTCATTTTGGCTGCTAAATATCTAGCCAACTTGATACAATAAATACCAAGCCACTCAGAACACATTTTCATTTTTTTTTATTGGAAACGGTAACTTCATTAAATGACTTTAAAAATAACTTTCCAGATTTAAGTACAGCTGTCAACCCCTAAGTAGGTGTTGAGCCCCCAGTAATCTTTCTTACAAAACTGCCCAGAACATACTCTCC